GTTCATGAAATGACTGAGTTGATTCATTAATGTTATATAACATGCAAATCACGTATCTTGGTCTCTTTGAAGTCAATATTAGTGCTTAGCACTTGAAAATAGTATCTACTGTAGAAATACACATCTAGTTGAGATATTAAACCATATGGACTCTTTCCCAGAAGAAAAGAAAATCTATAGTATACATTATAGAGACATATATATTGAGTGTAGCAGAAAAATAGTCCTGACAATCTTAAAGTCCATGTTTCAACTGAATGCACTAGAACTGTGATGAGACTGCTCAGAGAGCATAGCAGGCTCCTCTTACTTCTCCAGGACAAGTTGGCCTATGTCTGCATTTCTTTATCTGACAACTTTGACTTTGCAGCTGTGCTAGACTATTAATTCTCCCCCTTTCCTAAACTTACCTTGCACCAGTGATTTAGGAAAGTTGGTATAGAAGTAGATCAGTGTCCTTGCCTTTCAGATTCTGACTCTGGGGTTGTTGTATTGGCTCTCCAAAGTTCCCCTAAGAGATTAATTAAACTCTCAGAGTAATGATTGGCTTGATAACTTACCCATGACTAGCTGTTCTTCATTGTCTTAATTCTATACTTTCTTTCATTATCTACTGGGTAAATATTTGAACTTGAACCCATACCCTGACATTAGTTAGGTTCTTCTTCTGGAGAACTCAAACTGAGACAGACTCTACAGTTTCCTTTCAAGACATTTTTGGGGCTGGAGAGATGGCGGGGAGGGGTAGGGGTGGGGGACATGGGACTGTTTAAGAGCACTTGCTGTTCTTGCAGAGGACCTGAATTCAGTTGCCAGCATCCATATCAGGTGACCCACAACCACTTGTAATTCTAGTTCCTTGGATTTGATGTCACCTGGTCATGTGAGCACTACATGCACATGGAGCATATAAAGAAAAACAGGCATGTGTGTGTATACATGTAAATTTTTAATCAATCAAAAAAACCATCTTAAAATGTTTTAAAACATCTTTTTCTTTTAGTCTTCATGTGAACATCTTGTAAAATACTGTAGGACCAGTATCCCTTCTTGAAATCTGTCACCCCATTTCCTTAAGTTAATGAGTTAGTTTAGCATTAACTAAAAGACCAGACTACCTTCTACCTAACCGATTTATCTGTTTCTCTATTAGCTTGATGGGTCTTGTGTTAGTTGAACTAGGAAACTTCTTTCAAAGACTTCAGCAAGATCTCCTTATCTCCTTCCTGAAATAAAATTTATAGATAGTATTTCAAGGGAAGGACATACCATTTCTCTCCTACCTTAGAATTATCTATGTTAACCCTGAGTTACATGTATTACTGTTCACATTACATTTTGTAGTTCCAATATTTTGCAGCAAAAGGCATCCTATAATATTTAGATATCTGACCTAATTTGGTTGAAGATTTGAAAGTGCCACATAACTTCTGCAAGCTTGAAAACACTACCAGAGAAAGCTGTGGTCCATATTGTCTTGTTGGGATACATTCATGCTAGGAGCTGCCTTTGGATCCTGGGGTAGATTTAGTCGTGAGGACACAGAGGGAGTAAAAGCCATAGCCTTTGACCACCTCTACCATGTTTAGTTCCTTCTGCTATGAGCCAGTGAGGGGCATTATGTTGAGTATCTCAGCTTGAGATTCAATTCTGTTTTTCCATCAAGTCAGCAACACTTTTCAGTTTTTAATAGTACAGTCTGCATTTCATGTCAGTTTATCTAATACATTTGTTTTCCAGACTCTCTCTCTCTCTCTTTTTCCTGACAGGGTTTCACTGTGTATCTCAGCTATCCTGGAACTTACTCTGTAGATCAAGCTGGCCTCAAACTCACAGAGGTCCACCAGCCTCTGCCTCCCGAGTGCTGGGATTAAGGCATGTGTCACCACCCCCTGGCTTTTCAGACTCATTTTTATTATACTCATTTTTTATTACACGAGTTAAAAATGATTATTAGTGTTTACATGGAACTACAGATGAAAAGTAAATACAAGACTTGTTTTTAAAACATATTATGGCAAAGTGAGGCCTTGCATTTACTGATCTAGGATTTTCATTTTTCTTCCCACATAAAAAAGCCAAGTCAAGATTTCACAATTGGAGGGAAATGAGTTGCTTCATATTTGCTCTATTTGAGGACCCCATAAAAATGCTTTTCTGTACTAAATCATTTTTATAAGCTAGTACTTAATGTATGGTTATAGTTAGTGTGTCAGAGATACTTTTTTAAGTCATGAATATATATTTAAAAGATACTGCTTAATTCCTTCTAATGCCCCTTGCTTAAAATATTTCAATTGAATTACCTAAAATTATACATAATTGAGTAATACTCATTATGTCATTCGTGGGATGATATTTGCCTTTATACTGGCAACAAGCAGAGAGAAAACATTTCTTGGCTACTCAGTTTCTTATCAGCAATTGAAAAAAAGTCCCACTGTTACAGAACTCACTTCAGCTTGGTTTGTTGGTAAGTATATTACACTGGCCAACTAAAAGGATGTTTGCTTGATAGGTAAACCACCTTCAGATACAGCCCCTAAGGCCAAGAGAGCACCTAAACAGAAGAAAGTTGTAGAGACTGTAAACTCTGACTCTGATTCTGAATTTGGCGTTCCAAAGAAGACTACAACACCAAAAGGTGAGGACCGTCTTTTTATAACCCTTAAACACTTGCTATAAGGAAAGGATTTTGTTTCTTCAGCTTTGCTGAGTTTAGTGATGGGATACTGATTTCATTTGAAATTGGGTCACATGTCAATAAGTAGTATTGTGCAGCTGTGCTGCATTAGAGTAAAGGACATAGAGCAGTTTAGAACATTACTTACAGTTAAAACATTGACAAGATTAACTAGATATACTGAAAAAAAATTTAAAAATGCTACAATGAACTAACTCCCTTGAGTTTCTCCTACCTCTGTCTCACTTCTTTTGTTTGGTGTATTTGAGGGTCTTATTCTATAGGCTAGAGAAATAACATAGGAAAAAAGCTAAGAAAACTATCATAGAGCCTGTGGAGGTTATAATATAGGAATGTGTGGTTTGAAGCCTTGGTAAGTCTATCAGCTGTGACAGGTAACTTAAGCACTCTTGTAACAAGTTTTGTTCCTATTTTCAAGAGTCATATTAGCAAAATTCTAGTCTTTTTTATCAGGGCTTAGTACTGAAACTTATTTCCAAGATTTCTCACTTTTTTTTTCTTTTTGTTTCATTTTTTCAAGACAGAGTTTCTCCAAAGTATTGCTTTGGAGGTTGTCCTGGAACTCACTCTGTAGACCAGGCTGGCCTGGAACTCACAGAGATCCACCTGCCTCTGAGTGCTGGGATTAAAGGCATGAGCCACCAATACCTGGCTTCTCACTTGTTTTAAGTGTATTTTTAAAATACTCTTTAGTCACATATACTCCAGAATTAAAATGTTATATGTCTGTCACTTAAGGCAAGAGTAGGGTTGCAGGCTACACTATTGGGTGTAGAAATAATTATAAGACTTGGGCATCTATCTTATGTTCCATTGACGTTTGGGAGGAAAACTGTTTTCATGTATTTTAAGGTAAAGGCCGAGGGGCAAAGAAAAGGAAAGCATCAGGCTCAGAAAATGAAGGTGACTATAATCCTGGGAGAAAACCATCTAAAACAGCCAGCAAGGTAAGCAAGTACACCTCAGAATGGCTCAGGGTCTGTGCTGCATGTCATCACTCCCTGTTAGAATGTCTGGGAGAGCTATACATTCACTTCTCACCAATGAAAGTCCTGTAAGTCAACTTCCCTTAGAATCTCCGATTTTATTTATTGAACTGTTGTAGTTGTGTGCTACTTGAATATTAGAATATTCTTATAAACAGGTTAATTTGATTTTTAAAATCGAGTTTGATTGACAGTACCTAGTATTCCTAATTAATCTGACCTTTTAGAAGCCCTTTCTTTTTTGAGGGCATAAGCCACTTATTTTCTCTTTCTATTAAAACTTAAAAATATGCATATGGATGGTTATAGCTTCATAAATTGCTCTTTCCCATCAATTCCCTTTTCTATCTCTTGTCTATTCTGTGACTTTTAAAATATTTTATCAACACTTGTGATAGTGTGTGCTACATACTGTGCGTAGCTTTGTTCTGTTTGCATGAATTAAGACAATTTGAGTAATTTCTGATGTTAACATTGTGTATACTTATTGAGTAAGAAAAAAGTTAGTGATGTTACATTGATGGAGCTATAACCTGGTAAACACAAGAGCCCAAAGTAGCTAATTACTTACTATATTTCATCTGGTTTTTTTTTTCATCCATAATTCATATCAGGCTTAACTTAGCATTCCAATTCCAGTTTTAAAAGTATGATTGATTATTGGCAATATACCATAAGTGTAAGTATAAGGAGTAATAGTTCTTAACCATGGGCTTTCTTTAACTTTGGGATTTTTAATCTTTTGTTTTTCTTGGGGGGGGGGTATCTAGAAACCGAAGAAAACATCCTTTGATCAGGATTCAGATGTAGACATCTTCCCCTCAGACTTCACTTCTGAACCACCTGCTCTGCCACGGACTGGTCGGGCTAGGAAAGAAGTAAAATATTTTGCAGAATCTGACGAAGAGGAAGATGTTGATTTTGCAATGTTTAATTAAGTGCCCAAAGAGCACGAACATTTTTCAAAAATATCTTGTGTTGTCCTTTGTCTTTTCTGTCTCAGAATTTTGTACATCTGGCTTATTTTAATGTGATGATGTAATTGATGGTTTTTTATTATTGTGGTAGGCCTTTTAACATTTTGTTCTTACACATACAGTTTTATGCTCTTTTTTACTCATTGAAATGTCATGTGTTGTCTGATTGGCTTGTAGAATTGTTATAGATTACCGTGCATTAGCACAGATTTTAATTGTCATGATTGCAGACTACAGACCTGCTTTTTGAAATGAAATTTAAACATTAAAAATGGAACTGTGTTCTCAGACTCTTTACTGAAGGTGAAACCATAGTAAAAATTTCCACACACCTTTAAAATAAATATATTTATTCTTTGCCAGGAGACTCCATGGAAAAAGGTAAACAGTATATGAACATAGAAAGCACTGTTAAACCATCTCAATGTACAAACAGAGCCAGTGAAGGTACATCACAGACTTTTGCTAATATATCAAAAACAAAAAATTCCACTAGTGCTTACATGAGAACTCAGAACCTGACACTTGAGTCTGTCAACCACTCTACCACAGCTATCACTCTGCGTCATAGTGATTGAACAAGGCCAGAGGAGGCCACTTGCCCATACCTTCAAGCATCAAGACTGGGGGAAATCCCAGGATCAGGCGTGAGTCAGGAAGGACACTGGACTACTAGAGTCCAGGCAGACTAGCCTGCTGATTATCCTGTGATATCTCTCCAATGGCTTGTGAACAGGTAAACAAACTTACTAACACTGGACAGTGTTTTTGCCTTGGAGGCTATCATGACTGTAAAAATGCATCTTTTTTTCATTCGGTAGTTGTATCATTAAGGAATACACCACTTTCAATTTAAAGTGACATTAACAATTGAACAAATGACATTTGATTAACTGAACTGGCAGTTACATTGATACAGAATTCTCTTCTGCTAGTGCAGTGAAGTGGTATACTCTATCTGGGCAACACAAAAGAAAGGATGCAGCTTGAGAGTATCAAAAAGCAAGGAGAAATTTCCACATTACTTAAACCAGAGCGTCTTTAGTCTTATCCTGTACTGTACAAAGGTCCTGGTTCCTTACCGTGAAGCCTTGTTATTCATGAAAGCAAGATGTACAGTAGTCTGCTCCATAACCTTGGTGTCTTGGTTATTGAGTATGCAAGACAAAAGAAAGCACCAACATACAGGATAGAAAGAACAGAGCCATACTTCTGTATGTACAAAGTCTTCAGAAACTTAACCAGGGCTAAATCATCTCAACTGGGTCTTTGCCATGCATCTTGACTGTTCAGAGAGGAAAATAGAAGCTCTTAACTAGTTTCTGGTGGCATGAAATGCTGAAATTTCAGAATTTGAAAAGTTTGTATTTCTAGGCAAGTTACACAGTAAGGAATATATATTGATACATATGAAAACTTCTTGGTCCTTTTTGAGTTTAGCGTATTTCAGTCCAAAAACTAAGCAGCAGTAAAAATGTTTTCCTTGCATTTTCACTTGGGAACTGAACGTCCTGGGAATGTCTGCAGTAGCTGCAAGGGTCTCACTGTAGCAGCGGTGACTGACTGACTCCACTGTTCTCCACTGAGCTGGGTGAGACACTGGGACTGTGCTCTGCTGTGTTCCCACTTGAACTTGGGGTCAAGGGTTCATGTCCTTCAGAATTCTCCAGCATTTCCTGAATGAGAGGTGGCATTGATCCAGGAATTTCCATTTTCAAGGTAATTACACGTTCTGCACCTTTTTTGAGAAATAATAGAAAACTTGTTAGATACAGGGTCGGTTAGATATGAAGGGACCAACATTCACCCTCAGGTGTGTGAAAGGGTTGTGAAATACAGATCTTTGTGAAAAGGACCCATTTATTCGAAGTAAAAATGTTAAGGTGTTTACAATGGGAATGTGGGCCGCAAGAATGCCGGTGTGAGGTGTGCTTTGAGATCCCAAGAGTCTCAGGCGGAGGCCGATCGCCACTCCCTTTGAGTACAGAATATGCACTAATGGTACTTCAGAGGCTGACTGGGTTTGGTACATTTTCACTTCAAGGAAAAGCAGTGGAAGTGTGTAATGTGCAGATTAGCTAGTTGCAGTGCTTCAGTCAGATTCCGTAAATATAATTTTCAAAGAAAAATTCCTGATGAAAGATCAGAAGAATATAGGTGAAGGGATGGGTGGTTTCCACAGTGGAAGGATGGACTTGAGTCCCAAAGTGTGCTAGTCCAGAGATGGATGGTTCTATGCCAGATCCCACAGCCCCTCATGCAATTGGTTAGATGGAAATATGTAAATAATAGGAAAACTGCTTCAGAAACATGTGACTAGGGTTTTTCTGGACTCTGCTAATATGGAACTTGGGAGATTTCTATTCATGGCTGTTAGTCCTCAGGTCACTCGCATCTATGGAGAGTGATGTTAACAGCCTATTTACTTTTTTTTATATATTAAATTACATCCACTCAAGCATTGGTCTCTTTTTGTTTCTCTTAATCCCATGTTGGGATGAACTTAGAATGTATCACTGAAAACAACCGAGAATAGATTTCTTTTCAGACAAGTTCACTGGGCATTTAAGACCTTCTGAAGTGGAGCATGTGTATCTTGGCGTGCCAAGATCCTCAGGTGTGGAGTCTGCTAATGACAGGTAATAGCATAGTTGGCACAAAGAATAGTTGCTGAGTCATCTCTACATAGAAAAGCCCTCTGCACTCAGCTATGAGATGGCTCTAGGCATTTCTATAATTGCTTGAGTTGCCACACAGAGTGAGAATCATGAGGTGAGAGTATTTATATCTCTCAGCCAGGCAAGAATTTGAAAATCCCATTTGAAAACGAAATAATCTATTAGTATCACTGGGTAGTGGTATCTACTTTCTGCTTCTCTTAATCTCAGGCCAGAGGCAATGTCAAGACGTCTTCTTAAAGAACCCTGAGGAGCTCTTAACTGTGTGCACATATGGGTGCTCAGATGATTGATTCTTAGCTCCTTTTGATTTCTGTGGGATAGACATTCCAACTTAGTCACGAGACTCCTAAGATTAAAACATGGCTTTTAAAAAGCAAAGCTGGCAAAGCTCTGCCCTCCCCTCTGTCCTTGAAGACAGACCTTTAGCGCTGATGCTGCGGAGATCCGTAATTTTCATTAAGATCTTTGGAAACATGTGGGGCTTGCTGGGCCGACGTTTTCTAATGTAAATCTTCAGTGCTTCCAGCAGAGGCTCTTGGAGCTTGTCTACTTTTGTTGGTTCCTCAAGGTCCTGGCGGTCTGGAGAGCAGGAGGAAGTATTCAGTGTTTAGTGACCCAAAGGCTGAAGCGCTACTGCCCATCCCCTTTCTCCTTTCCCATTCCTCCTGTACAGTGGCTTTATTTAGTGACTCGGTTGCACATTAACCTGAATGCATGCAATTGCTTTTAGCAGTGATACTTGACATAGTAGCCCACTTACTCTGGTTCAGAGGCAAGAATTCCCTTTCATGACCAGATGGGGTCAGTATTGAACTGAGCAAAAGCACCTTGGGCAGGCTGGCTATGAAAGCCAGGTAGATAAGCCTGCCCCTTAATTACAGCCATTACTTTGAACTAATGTTGGCTTCTGGTTCGTCAGCAGGGGTCACTATGAAGAAGGGGCCATACTTTACTCCAGCCCACCAGGCACACACTGGCATGGTAGGGGATCCCAGGCAGTGATTTGAATCATTCTAGCTATATTAAGAAATAAAATACAAGTCATTTGGGTCACTGCTAAAATGTCCTTAGGCATATAGCAGTATGATCCTGCCTTTACAAATGTACCTGTTTCCCACAAGAGAAACTGGACAAACTGCTTTTGGCATATATTTCAGAGTAGAAGGAGCTCAAATACCACTACTTAATTTACAACAGGAGAAAGCACAGCTGTTCCTGGCATGGGAATTGTATTCACTGCCTTTCTCCATGCAGTGAAGAACGCATGTGGAGAACCCAGTGGAGCTGCATGCTGTCCTGTGACTTGCTCTGTGTGGGGTCTCGTGACGGTCCCCAGGGAGTCACTACCTCCACAGATTAAGCAGATGGCACTTAGAAGGCCTGTTTCTGTGTCGTCCATTTCCAAAGGCAGGAGCTGGTTGGCAAAGGTGAACACAAGGTCAGTCAGAGGACCGAAGCCAGCATTGTGCATCTGGGTTCGATTCAGAGTAAGGCCATCAGAGAAGGTCATGGTGTCTTGTTCTGGGGTATACCTGGTACAAATTCTGAGAATCTGGAAGAGAGAAAATGTGTAGGTCCACTTGCTAGATCACCTATGCTGTCCCCACAGCACCCACCAGAGCTATGGTAGATGTAGGAACTCCTGAGGAGCCTGGGCCTCACATGGGCAACATCTCCCACTGCCGAATAATGTTAGTGCCTTGTTTCATTACACACTGGCAGATTTCTAAGAACAGAGCTGGGTTATTAGGGGAATAATAAGTGGGACATATATTTTGAGAAATAATGATTGAAATATCTATTTCCTGAGGATTTATCTCTCAGGCATCAAGCCAGGTGCTAGGGAGAAGAAGAGGAACAAAATTCTATTTTCAAAAGCTTAGTCAACCAAAAATAAGTAAGATGATCCTTACCAACTGATGGCTAATCTTCACGTCAATTTACGGGATTTAAAATTGTTATGGGAACACACATACTTTGGGGCGTGGCTATGATGGTATTTTAGAAGGGCTTAACTGATCAGGCAAGATGCACTCTGAATGCTAGGGGATTCCAGACCGAATATAAAGGGGAGACACTTGAAGTCAATCGAGAACTGGCATTGTCTTGGCCCCAGATAGAATATGACCAGCCCTCTCACAATCCTCATGGCTTGTATCTTCAAACCATGAGCCCAAATAAACCACCCTTCAGTTGCTTCTATCAGGTATTTGGTTGTAGCAACAAGGAAGGCAGCTAATACAGCACGTCTTTAGTCTTTCAGAAAAGTCCTGTTGTTCACAGATGGCAGCCCTAGGGCTCAGGCCACATGCTTTGCCCAGCCTCATAGCTAACAATGAATTTGATTCAAACTCAAGGAAAGCCCTTTCTCACAATACAGGCAGGCTTCAGAAACAGAGTCATCAGCATGGCAGGGATTAGGAGCGAGTCAAGCTGGGGGTGAGGGCACTCACACCCCACTGTGGTGCACAGGCAGACTATTCTAGAAGCCTGCTCCTCCCTGTGCTTGTAGTCATGGCTTACAGCCTCCCTGTGCTCCACACCCTCTACTTAGGCACGCTGTCATTCTGCAGGACTTCTACCTTCTCTACCTCACCCTAAAGGCCCCAGGTCTGGTGAAACTGCAGTCTCCAGGTCCTTCCGCCAGGGCTAGGTAGTCTCATGGAGCAGGACCTCCAGGAAATAGGCTTCTGCATTCTGTGTTCCCCCTGAAGAGACTTGTTGCTCAGCAGAGGTTAAGTCAGTAAGGAGAGTGTCTACCCAGGGCTTCTCCTGACACCAGCTGAGGGTGGCTCCCTGAAAGCCCACTGTCAGGAGCAATAGGATGGGTATGAGGGGCAAAGACCTTCCTCTTAGTCATGAGACTGTGTGCACCGTGGCCCCCAGGGGGAAGCAATGTCTGCCTTTAAAATCTAGCTCCCGCCCATGGCTTTAAAACAGAATCTGGCCTTCCCTCTGGAGGCTCTGGAAGCTATGGTTGAGGAGTTCCCCATTCCCACAGCCATAGAAAGGACCACAGCACTGCTGTGGACAAGCCGCAGCCTCACCACCCAAGTACTTGGTGTTAGAACACTTCCAGGGTATGAGGTGTAGACCTCTGAAGGAGAGTAAGCCTAGGGGCGTCATGAGGATGCAGTCCCGAGAAGGTATCAGTGCCCATCTGACATGAAGAGACCACAGAACTCAACCCAGTGAGGGAGCAGCCAGAGGGCCCGTGACCTAAGGCCCAAGAGCACTGGCTGACTGAGTCTGGGCTCCCGGCCTCCAGACCTGTGAGAACAGGGGTTTGCACCTGCCTGGTCTCTCATTTAGCAGCTGCATTAAGACAAAAGTTTCCCTAGACTACAGGTGGTAGCCTCACAAAGTTATGTCATGGGCTAGGCCAGGTTTCTTATTCAGCTTAGCCAGGGAATCCCAGTGGTCTTGAGCACCTGCAGGGCTATGGTATGGGTAGGCTGCAAATATCCCATGGGCCTCCAGGGCAAGGTGAGGAGGGCTCATGAACAGAGGGAGGGAGGTGCTCTTTGTAATGACTAGGCCTGGTCTGGAAAAGGGTGTGCAGGAGTGAGGGGGCAAGCCATCCCTGAAGGCCAGTAAGGAGCCACTCCCATGATCACTTGGTGTGGTAGAGGCTGGGGCTGTCACAATGAGAAGACATACAATGAAAGATCTGTCAAACCCCAGGGACTCTGAAGTTTTGTCAATCCAGGGAAATTCCAACACATGGAAGGCCTCTTCAGATCAAGGAAGTGAGACTGGGAAGTAGTCTCAGAAGCTCCCAGAAGCCTCCATCTCCCTTATTTCCTGCCCTGTTCTGTGTTCTCCTACTCCTTCCTTCCTTCTAGAGTTCAGAAAGAATCCTACCAAAATGTCCAAGCAGGCAGCCTTGAGCAGGGTGATCTGGTCTGCGATGGTCAGGCTGGTGAAGCCCGGCAGACGCTTGGCGAACTCCACGATCTTAATAATGCACTTGGTGGCTAGCTCGCTGAATTTGTCCCAGAGTCCCAAGTCCAGTCGGACCCGATGGTCAGCACTGGAATTCTAAAAGGGAGAGAGAAGAGGAATGAATAACATTGTGCCACCAGGAGGTAGGGATGGGCTGCTTCCCACAAATGGGCTCACACATGCTTCCTCTGAGCTTCCTGCTTTCAAGTTGCACAGACTTACACCGGTCACAAGACATCCAGGGAGCAAATGAGGGTAAGCCTCTGTGCGCAGTCACCTACTCCTAATGAAGGAGAGACAGACCTGCTGTTGTCTATGCCACGAACCGATGCCTCTAGACATTGATCATCACTGCTTACTACTGCCACATGTGGGTGTTGTAAGGTAAAACAGCACCAGGTTTCAGTCTGCCCTAGGTCAAATTTGAGTCAGATGAAGTCTCTGGATCTACTCATAGGAGACACAGGAGCATGCTAAGCACCCAAGGGCACCATGAGCCCCAGATACTATGCAAAGCCCATCAGCCACCCAAGACATTGCACAGGAGCAGCTATGGAGAGGGAACTAATATTGAATACTGTGCTGGTGCTCAATAATGACTGTACAGTGATGTTAGGGTGTCATCAGTACAAGAGCTGGGTATCCATCTGTAGCAGCCATGGGCATTGTACTAAAGGGAGGCAGGTCGAGACAGAAGGAGGATGGGGCTGTGGCTTCTGGGAACTATAAATAGGGTGGTGATCACAGATGCAGGCGGGACCTTTCCATGGTGTTGGCAATGGTCTTCAACACATCAACACATCTTTGGAGAAGATGAAGCATTAAATCATGTGCATTAGACTCCAGAATTTTAACTCAGAAAAAAGAGACTTTGATTGGCTGAACCTTCCCTGAGTTCCATGTAAAGAAAACGAGGAGGAGAGACTATCGCAAGAAAGTGTCGAGTGAGCAGTTCAGGTGTCCAAGAGGGCTCTCCTTATTCAGTGGTGACACTGCAGTTTTCTAGTCACACTTAGAACATACACTAAAGCACTCAAGGGCAGGACGGTGATGGCTCAACACGTATACCAGAATATCAACTCCTGTGGTGGGGGTGTGAGGAGCCAGGAGACTGCCCACCTGCTAGCCTTCTCCCCTCATAGCCTGTGCGTGATTCCTGGCTGACTATGGCTCTCGCCTGTAAATATGGACCACACTTCCTTATCTCATCTACACACCTTCCTTGGTTCTTTGGTTGGCAGATGACACAGTGAGCACTTAGTAGAGCCCAGGAAAGTTGTGTGACAGTCTCATAAGTCTTTGCTTGTCTGAGATGTCTCACAACTGTCTTTCTGTAGAAGAGACACCAAGGGGCTGTTTCTCATGAAAGTAGCCTAGACATCCTCATGAATTCTGGAAATCCAAGACAAAGTGAACCATGTACGGAGACTAGATTCCCTTGACCTTGTGTGTGGCTCTCTTGACAAATACTTCTCTGTCTCTGCAAATGCAATTCAGCATTGCAAACCAAACCCTGTTTCAGCCAGAGCTGTCCACGGAAGTTAGTAAAGCCATCTTTGCTTCTAACATCAGTAGGAATCCGGAGGAAGAGTCTGAAGTCAGGAATCTAAAGAAGGTCTCAGAATGGTGGTGGCCATGATGGCTTCCACAGTGTCCCTGAAGAAACAAACACGCATCTTCCAGATTAATTTCATGCCTTCCTCAAAGATCTTTGTGGAACACAGCACTGTCAGGAGTGTGTACCCACAAGAGCAAGGCATGTGGCCATTCGGGCTGTAATTAAATTTAATAGGCAGTTTATCTAATTCACGGAGATGCCACAGAAGAGAGGGGCAGAGGCGAGCCTGGTGGGAAATCACTTTACAATGGAGTACCCATCTGGAAAAAATGACATTGCAGGATGCAGCCAGTGTGAAGGAAATCTTCATCAGCTTTGGATGAGCTGCTCTATCATGCAAGAGTGGGAGTGGAAGGGGGCCTATGGCTCCTTCTATTAAAACAGCGAGCAACCCAGTAACGGCCTGTCAGTCCAGCTTACCATTATGCAAACTGAAGGCAAAAGGCAGTTAATAAAACACAAAATAACCCCGTGTTTTATTATCCTGGCTGCTGGATTCATAGGCAGGATGCTTGAAGTGGCTCCCACGCTATCTTCTAGCTGCAGTGATGAAAGCAGCTACAGAGAGCACTGACGGGGCTGGGGGGGGATGCTCAGAAGCAGGTGAGAATGAAGACGAAGAGGGGGTGAGGGGAAAGGGGATGGACACGGGCTGAGCCAGGCCTTACTGTGGGTAGGATGTGCCGCCTGCCTGGGAAGTCCCCTGGGCTTCTGTGGAAGAGTAAGTTTCCCAGAATGCTGTGGCCCGCAGCCCCCCGGGGCCTCCTTGGGAAAAGCCCAGCCCTGTCAATCCAGTTAAATGCTATCTTCTGCCACGGCACAGCCCTTCTGATAGGTGACTCTCTCTGCTGCTTTGCTGGCTGGCATCTCTTTCAGAAAAATACCAGCAGAGGCAAGATCTACCAGGTCTAAACGCCTGCTGGCAGTTGCTTGGCAGGTCCTGGGCAGGTCAGCGGTTTATTTGAGGGCTTTTATGCTAAGGAGTGGAGAGACAACTCTCTTCTGTTTTCTCTTCCTTCACGGAGTTGTGGATGAAACCCAGGGCCATGTGCATGCCAGGCTAGTGCTCTCTCACCAAGCCCCAGCCCCAGCCCTGGCTCTCCGAGTCAAAGTCTCACAGTGTAGCCTAGTCTGGCGATAACCCTTGCTCTGTCTCCCAGGGGCTGGGGTTTGGGGTGTAGGCTACAAAAAGACTCAGAAGAACTGAGTTTAAGTGCTGCGGGAATGTTGAGAGCCTCTCCCGAAAAGCTGCCCTCTTTAGGCTTGGAGTTGTTTACCTATCTCAAGAGGCAGGTGTCCTCCAAGTCCTATTAGTGAGGTGGCCCTGTCTTGTGTGTTCCATGTCTCCATCATGTGCGTGCATACATGCCCTTAATGTGGCCACTCCTTGTCTAGGCCACCTCAGACACGGGGCCTTCTGTGTTCTCTACTCTCCATCACATCACTCCATGAGGTAGCGACAACTATGGCTCTATTTGGTTGACAAGGAGGCTACAACCCAGAGATTGACAGTAGCCTGCACAGGATCCCCGGGCAAGCAGAGGGGATGGCACTCACCCACGCAGACAGGCTGTGGCAGCCACGCTTTACTTGGTGATTCATCTCTTATTTCCTGGTGGGGACTTAATGTCACTTAAACTTTGCATTGTGTTTGTGACTTCCTTCCTGGTCAAATGCTCTCATGAGATAGCTACAAGGTCCCAGCGCCACCATGCTGAGGATGTCATTAGTGAGACAAGCATCTTTCTCGTCAACAAACAGGACCCTGGACACCGTGCCGCCATGTTCTTTGGCACATAACAGCTAGACGTGTGTGCCGGTTGGGAGAACAAGGACAGACTCTAAGGAAGCTAAAGAAGAAGGAGCTGGTGAGAAGCTGGAGGGAGGCAGCAATGACTTCTAAACCAAGAAAGGTAAAGACAGCCACCAAAGGCTGAAGCTGTGGGAGACACGCCTGGGACTGCCGCAGGCAATGGCCCTGCTCACACATCGAGTGTGGACTTCCATGTGGCACGGGGGGCAAGGGAAATGCCGCTTCAGGTTACCCAGTAAGTGAAACACGGTAAGAACCGAATACCTCTGGCTGGGACATGGCAGGCGGGTTGGGGACACAGCAGGTGGGAATGGAGCATGGCAGGCAGGTATGAACTGAGACTTGGGAAGTCATGCCAAGGTGACAGAGCTTTGAGGTAGCAGGGGGCCAGAACTCTTACTCATGAACCCCGCCCCAAAGTGTCTTACCCCAACCTGGGTACATCTCCCCTAGGAGTCAGCCTCTCTGAGTTCTAGGTTTTTCTCCCCTGGCCAATCACACATGTGAACTCTCTTAAGAAAAGTCAAGCCCTGCCTACAGGTGCCTGGGTCACAGTCGCCACCTCACTTTGCTAGAACCCAGGCATGTGGCTGTAAATGACATCACACCACTCACAAGATCCAGGGGACAACCCTCCACTCTGCAAACCTTTTCTGCCAGAAACTATGTAAGACTTACAGAACCATGTGGCCACACGTGAAGCCTATACCACCAAAATAACCATTATAGAGGTGAGGAGTCGGGGCTCCAGAGGTGATATCACGTAAGCGCCAGCTAAGCAGCATCACGCAGCTCCGAGCCTGGGGATGGCTTCCTACTCACTTCTGGGGAAGAGGGTCGGGGGGGCGTGTGTTTGTGTCCTTCCTTCATCCAGCCTTGCTTCTCCCCGGACCTGCCAACGCAACGACTAACTGTAGCTTGGGAAATAAAAGCCACAGGGAAAGATCGGCAGAGGCGGCCGCCGTCTGCAGTCTGCTTCTTCCCTGCCCACTTATGCCGCGGGCGCCTGACGTGTGTGCCACCCCAGGAAAGGGGCAGGAAGCTTCTTGCCTTTGAAGCAACTGGCTCCCTATAAAAAGCTTGGAGCAAACGCTGAGTTCGGAACTGGGAGCATGCAGGGGGTGTGCTGTGGCTGCTGTTATTTATGTGTGCTCCCACCGACTTCCAGAAAGGATCTGCGGTCCGTACACGGGAAACAAAGCTGCTGCCCGGCAGGGAGGGGCTGGCCTCTAATGAACTTCTGCTTCTTTTTCCCGTTCCATTGGAGAGGCCCCCCCACTTGGGACTGGTGGTCTCCAGGAGTCAGGCAGGCTCAAAGGTGGTGTGAATTTGAAATGTTCCCCATGTCTGAGTACTTGGTCCCAGGCAGATGCTGTTGTTTCTGGAGACCGTGGAAGAGATCATTGACAAGGACTAGCTGGAGCAGGGTCGGGGCATTGGTGACTAAACCTTGAAGGTCATGTCTGGCCACTGTTTGCTGCTGTAACTTTTGCTTCTTGGTCACTTCAACCACCTTCTCCTGTGCCATGAGGGGGAGCACCCCTACGCTCTCTGTACCTCCCCTGCCACAAGTGTAAATACCCCCACACTCTCTGCACCTCCCCTGCCACAAGTGTAAATACCCCCATGCTCCCTGCACCTCCCCTGCCACAAGTGTAAATACCCCTACACTCTCTGCACCTCCCCTGCCACAAGTGTAAGTACCCCTACACTCTCTGCACCTCCCCCACACAAGTGTAAGTACCCCCACACTCTCCCTACCTCCCCCTGATGCAAGAGTAAATACCCCCCACTCCCTCCACCTCCCCCCTGCCATTAGAGGAAGTAACCCTACACTCTCTTTACCTCCCCTGACACAAGTGTAAGCACCCCACACTCTCCCTGCCTCCCCCTGACACAAGTGTAAGTACCCCCCACTCCCTCCACCTCCTCCTGCTATTAGAGGAAGTAACCCTACATTCTCTCTACCTCCCCTGACACAAGTGTAAATACCCCCACAGTCTCTCCACCTCCCCATGCCATGAGCAGAAGTACCCCTGCACTTCTCTACCATGGCATATACTCTGAAACTTTGAGCCAAAATAACTATTTCCTCCTCCCGAGCTGTTTCTATCTGGCCTTTTGCCCTTGCAACACAGAACTAACACAGCAGATAGGCTCCAAAGCAGGGTGCGCGGGAAGGATCCAGGAAGCTGCATGGACACCCCTCAGTCTTTAAAACTAAGATTTGGATTAGGTGTCTTGTCTGGAAGGAGATCCAACATTCCATGATAGGAAGCTGCAGTGAGTCAGAAATGTCCACCGCTGAGGTAGCCGGGGCTGGACCTCGCTGAAGAAGGTGGGCAGAAAAGACCGAGTTATCCTGCTGAGGTGGCAGGGAGGCTAGGGTGTTTCTCCACTGAGGCTGCTTATCTGAGGTTGGGGGCTGCATCTAGAGAGCTGTGCCTTGTGTGTGAGCCATCTCACAGGGACAAAGGCCACGCTTAGATGTAGGTCCCCAACGAGGCAACCACCACCCGTTGCAACTGGAACATTTCATATAGTTACCTTATGAGTCAGGGTAAGGGGGCCTGACCGGGCCATGTTTAGACACCACCATGTGGAGTTAGCAGAGCCTGGCCCCTGGAGTGGTTATAATCAGGGTGGCAGCTCCTTCTTTGGCTCTCCCAGTCCTCTTCAGGGGACCTGCCTCCTCTGATGGTTATACCTTTTCTACCATTGGGAGTTTGGTTTGCTCCTGCACAGCAGTGACTTGTGTGTGCTGCTGCTGGCCTAGCCCACCGCACGTGGTGCAGTATAAGTCCTGTGTCTACTACTGAACCACTAAACAAAGGAAAAGGTACTTGATCCTACTATAGCTTGGCTTACCCATGTGTATATAGGGCCAACAGTCCCCACTCACAAGGACCTCAGAATAGAAAGGGGTGAGGGTCCTGATCATGGTTCCTGCAAATGATGACTACTTGGTAAGTACCAGCTGCACAAAACAAAGATTTGCTATCAAATGCCCTCCATCATGTACATGTTGAAAGACAGGCACGTCTACTGTCTTTGAAAGCTCTATGTTTTCCCTTTCCTGCTTCTCTTTTTCCCTGGGACAGTCCGCCATCACACAGGATGCTATTTCTCAGCTTTGCCCTTGGCCCCAACCTGAGCCAGTGTCTCTAGCTTTTAGGTGAAGGCTCACCTTCACACTTAACCTGGCACAATAATATGGTGCTTGCAACATGGTTGCTGATAATTACTCCCCAAAGGAAGAAACCTGTTCATGGGCACTCTCATTTGTCACCCACCCACATGCTGTTGCCTGCTGAGCTGGAATCTGTTTATGTCCAGAGGATGGATATGTGCTGGGTGGTATGTCTGTTACGACCCTGCCACATGCCAGGTCCCATTCCAGAACCGTCTAGGACTCCTCTGATTTCAGGCTTCCAGCCATAACAGCACCATGGACAAGATGACAGCGTAGTAAGATAGAAGTCACACCGCATAGCTGAGCAGAGCTGAGAGATGTGATGCTTGGCCTCGGCTCTGACAAACCCGCCCTTTCCACTCTTTGCGTCCTGCCCATGGGAAAACGACAATTTCTTGGTGGCAGGCATCCAGCTTTGTTTTACTCTGGATTAGGATGGGCACCTCAAAACAGCAGGGTCCAGGCATGGCTTTTCTGCTTCTCCTGCCAAAGGCAGAAGAGACCCCAGAAGGTCATCCTGGGCTGTGGCTTCTCAGTGTGGTTTGAGTAGAGCTGCTCCAGTGTCCCCGAAACTCATGGAAAGATTCTAGTCATGCCCAGGGACCACAGCCTGCGGCTGCTCAGGAAGTGCTGCTCTCATCCTTCTCACTTCCACACAGGGACCCGCTGCTTGGTGTCACTGCAGTCTCAGCTCCCAAGTTCCCTGGGTGTCCACCTGGCATGTCCCAGCACTGAGTTGTTCAGAGCCCTCTGGGCCTTCCATTGCCACCTCTGCCATTTACTGACAGGCGCTAACATCCAAGCCCAGGACACCATGTTCTTCTCAAGTGTGACTTCAAGGCTCCTCTCCTCACCGTCCCTGCTCCTTCCTGGCATTATTGTTGGTTCTTTCTAGTCTAAGGATTTTCCCAGCATGCCTTTTACCGCACCAGAGATGGGGAACCCTTAAACACATTTACTAGCCAGCAATATGGGCAACGATATGAATCATGGGAAAAGGTCAGAATGGCAGTCTACTTGTATCCGTTCCTTCGTTCCTCAAGTATCTCCTGCGTGCCCGGTGTGTGCCTCAAACTGGGAGTGTACGTAATGCTGAATAGAATGCACGCTAACCTTCCTTGGAAAAGCCAAAGTCTCATGAGCCGCCTGGAGCATCCTCCAACCAAAGATTCCCACAAACTCCTACCCCTCTCTCTGCCCCGCTCTTGACTTGTAACCTTCGTTACAGCCACTTCTCACTAAACTGGAGCACATGGGAGCACCTATTCATGGAGCCCAGATCACCCTGCCCTGCACCCTTCCAGACTTTCCTGAGTTATACACACCTCCTAGAAGCCAGACCATGACCCAGAGAAAGATGGCTCCATAACCCTGCCTGGAATCTATAGCTGGATTGATATTTAAAAGATGGACTCCAGGTCACATGTCTGCCACAACCTGAGCAGACCATAAACCCCAAAAGGAGCCACAAAAGCAGTTCTTTGTGCTGCCGGTGCTCAGCATGTAGCCCCTCACACAATAGGTGCCCATGGATGAGAGCTGCTGTAGCCCCTGTCCTAATGCTACACGTGGGGAAGAGCCACCAGGTGTCCTGCCTGGCTGCCAGGCAGGCCCAGGGCTGGACTGGGTGAGCACAGGAAACGGTATGGGAACTACGTGGGTGCACAAGAGCCTGTGCCCGCATCCCTGGCATCCCGGGCAGACGCCCCCTTACCGTGGTATATTTGCCCAGCTGGCAGAGTGAGGGGAAGGTTTCTTGGTGGGCTTTGCGGATCTTCTCTGTGAGGTCATCCAGCTCTGCTGTCATCTCATAGCTCTCTGTGCATTCCTGCTTCGAAGGCTCCTTCTTCTTCTTGTTTCTGTCATTCCTGACGGCTGGAAAAGGGAGATGAGAGGTCATGGAGGGCCAGGCCATGCTCCTGAGCAGGAAGTCCCCTCTCCCAGCCTTACCCTCAGGATAGGGGCAGCCAGAAAGGCAGGAGCAGTTCTCAGCCAGGAAAGGACCCTGGCAGAACCGTGTCAGCCTTTCTTGGTGTGCAGTGTGCGCTCTTCAACCTGTGTAAGCTTGACCCATAAGAAGTTCCAAAGCAGGCTGCATGTCATGAGTGGGAAGGATCCTAAGGGGTGCACTGAGTTACTGAGCCGCAAGGATCCTGTCCTGGCTATGTGATTTTTTTTTGTTTTATCAACTTGTTGCAAACTAGAGTTATCTGGAAAGAAGAAACTCAGCTGAGAAAATGTCTCCATCAGATTGCCTGTAGGCAAGCTTGTAAGGTATATCTTGATGAATGATTGAGATGAATGGTATCTTGATGAATGATATCACCCCTGGTAGATAGTCTTGGGTGTTATAAGAAAGCAGGCTGAGTAAGCCATGAGGAGCAAGCCAGTAAGCCGCATTCCTCCATGACCTCTGTTTCAGTGCCTGCTTCCAGGTCCCTGGCCTGACTAAGTTCTTGACGTGACTTCCCTCATTGGTGGGCTACTACCTCAAAGATGAAATAACACACCCCACAATTCGCTTTTGGTCATGGTATTTATCCCATCAAAGGACCCCTGATTGACAGGTCCTTATACCCGGGAGCCAGGTCCCTCAGCAAAGCTGCTTCATAGTGAGGTATGACCTATCTCATTTCTTTACTTTTTTCTTTTTCAGAATCAACTGACTGGCACCTAAAATAACTCATCTTCCTATGGTTTGTGTCCCTTTATGTGTTATGCTTAGACTTCCTGTATTAACTAAACAACATCCCATTATTTATAATCTTATTTAAAACAGTACAAACCCTCAGCCGTGACAACCGTCTACTCAGGCACCTGCTCATTCAGAGACCCAGTTCCAGGCCATTTGTGGCTGGACCTCAGCAGATAGGTGCCACCTGGCCCTGCACACCCCAGGCCAGCAGGACACTGGTACACAGAGGGTTCACGGTTCAGAGCTATAGGACAGCCCCCTCTCAGGGCCAGCTTTCCTCATGGTTGTAAATGAGCGCAATGCAAAACTCTAGCTCTTGGTGGGAACCTGAAACCCAGGGAGGCAGATAAACGATACCAGATCACATGACCCCTCCAGGGAGTCCATGTTCACCGGGGTGTCAGGACCCAGGCTGCCTGGATGTGTACAATGCCTGCATGACCTGGGCATGTGTGATGCAAGATGACCCAGCCATAATCTGATCTGCCTAAGAGGATTTGGCCTGGCTGCCTCCCTAAGGGCACATAGGTCACCAGGATACGCAGTGTTCTTACTAGGAAGTCCTCAGGCCCTGCATGGACAGGAGATGGGGGTGTGTGTGAGAGGGGAGGCAGGATGGGGATGGAGGAGGAATGGAAGGAAGCAGCTCATAGGGCCAGGAGAGACCACTTATGGGAAGAGGAACACTTTTGGTGTCTTCATACCTGAACCTGGAGGTTTGACCACAGAGCTCACCTAATCCCCTTTTAAGGAGAAGAGCTGCCAAATTCTCTCTTTACCAGATCCACTTACTACCAAGGAAGTGGACACAGGCTGGTACCTTCCTACTGGGTCCCTAGAATAGCTATTCTAAACAATGGAGAAAAAGAGGCCCAAGCAGGGGTTTTATGGTATGCCCGTATAGCTCTGTGACTAGACAGACCTTCCTTGGAAATGTGGGGATAGGGTGAAAGGCCTCATGTTGCAAAGTGTGTGTGTGTGTGTGTGTGTGTGTAGACACAACACAACAGAAGTAGCACACAGAGTGGCACAATGGTGGTCTCTAGACTCTCTTGAGGAATGGAGTTCTGCTAGGGAGAGGATACTGTATCCTGAAGGCTTGTGTGTAGGTATCTCAGGCTCCTGAATAAGACATTAGACCCCTCCTTTGACATGCCTCTGCTTTAGCCAACACAAAGGTTAAACCTAGGCAACAAGGTCTTTCCTAAACAACTCTGAGAGAATTTTGATATTCTTTACAATTGCCACATGACCCAGCAGCTCTTTTCTTGCCACACGCCTCAGAGAACTAATTTAACAGCAATATGTATGAAAAACGCAACCATGAATATCACTGTTCCTACCACTGACCCTAACAGCCTGGGAGTAGAACATTACACATGCCCGCCTTGGATGGCACATAAACCAAATGGCTTTTCAAGCCATAGAAAATTACTTGTTATTGAAAGAAATGACATACTGGCACAGGTTACATTGTAGATGAACTCTGAAAACTGTGCTGAGAGAAGAAACCAGTAGCCAAAGACCATGTGTCTTAGGGTTCCTAGTTCTGTGAAGAGACACCATGATCACAGCAACTTTTATAAAGGAAAATATTTACTTGTGGTGGCAGCTTACAATTTTGAAGGTTTAGTCCATCATCATCATGGTGGGGAGTATGGCCGCTGGGGGTTTGGCAGCATGCAGGAAGACATGGTGCTGGAGAATTCAACATCTTGATCCAAAGGCAACAGGAAGTGGCCTGAGACACCTGGAGGTATCTTGAGCATATATGAGACCTCAAAGCCTGCCTCCACAGTGACACACTTCCTCCAAGGCCACACCTCCTAATAGTGCCACTTCTTTTGGGGACCTTTTTCTTTTAAACCACCACATTCCACTCCCCATTCCCCAAAAGGTTGTAGCCATTATTATAATGAAAAACTGCATTCAGTACAACTTCAAAAGTTTCCATCATCTATAACAGTCCCAAGTTTATTTAAAAGTCTAAAGTTCAAAGTCTCTTCTGAGATTCATATAATCTCTTAACTGTAATCACTTGCAAAATTAAAATAAAAAAGCAGATCACATGCTTCCAATAAATAATGCAAAGGATATACATTACTGTTCCAAAATATAGGGAAGGGAGCATATTGGAAATTTACTGGACCAAAGCAAGACCGAAAACCAGCTGGGCAAACTCCAAACTGCATCTCCATGTCTGATATTGAAGCACTCTTCAGATCTCCAACTCCTTTCAGCTTTGTTGACTGCAACACACTTCATTCTCTTGGGATAGTTCTACTCTCTGCTAGCAGCTCTCCTTGGCAGGTGTCCCTTGGCTCTGGATCTCTAACATCTTGGGGGTCTCCAAGTCAATCCAGGCTTTAACTTCACAGCTTCATGCAATGACCTCTCTAGGCCTCCATTTGGATACACCCCTGACATATGCCTGGCCTCAGCAGCTTTCCTTAGTTGTGGAGGAAAATTCCATAACCCGTATCCTTTATTCTTAACTCCAGAATCACGTGGCCAAGTTCTGCTGCTTACTGGGGCTGAAACACGGCTCCCTTATTCAGTTACATCTTCACCAGCTTTCTGTTTTTAGTGGTTTCCTTCATTACCAAAGCTTGGCTGTCCTGTAGACCAGGCTGGCCTTGAACTTAGATCTTTCAATTATATCTTCACCAGCTTTCTTTTTTCAATGGTTACCTTCACTATCTAAGCTTGGCTTTTCTGGAACTTGCTCTGTAGACCAGACTGACCTCAAACTCAGAGATCCTCTGCTCTGCCTCTGGAGTATTGGGATTAAAGGTGTGCACCACCACACCCAACTCTTTAATTCCTTTTCACACATTGGAAACTTAACTGGGTGGGGTATTGCCCTGAGGTTATCACCCTCTTTATTCCATTTCTTCATCTATTTAACTCCTTGAGAGGAGAACTTAGTTCCATTCCACTTCCTGGTGCTCCTTTTCTCCTCAAATATTTTTCCTTGCTCAGCTTGCTCCTTTTCATTATAAATCTTCATTGCAGTTAACAGTCATAACCACACAACAGAGTCTATACTAGCCTGTTTTGGGATTTCCTCTGCCAATGGAATTAATCCAAACTCTTCACTTTAGCCTCAGATAAACTTCTCAGACAAGAGCGAAAACCGACCATATTCTTCACCAAAATATCACAGGAATGATTCATAGATAACATACTAAAATTCTTCTCCTGTGAAACCTTTTGATCCAGGCTCCCACAGTTCGAATCACACTCAGCACCATTCTCTTCCAAGCTCATACTACTATGGCTCATTAAGCAACACTTAAAGCATTCAACTGCTTTTCTTATCTACAATTGCACGGTTCATATTCCTTCAAACAAAAGCATGGGCAGGCCTATCACAGCGATACCCCAGTCCCTGGTACCAACTTTTGTCTTAGTCATGGTTTTTAATGACCATGACAATTTTTATAAAGGAAAACATTTAATTGTGGCGGCAGCGCACAGTTTCAAAGATTTAGTCCATTATCATGGTGGGGAGCATGGAATCTGGGAGTATGGTGTTATGCAGGCAGACATGGTACTGGGAAATCTATATCTTGATCCAAAGGTAACAGAAAGTGGTCTGAGACAGTCGGAGGTATCTTGAGCATATATGAGACCTCAAAGTCTGCCACTACAGTGACACACTTCCTCCAAGACCACACCTACTCTAACAAAGCCACACCTCCTAATAGTACAACTCCTTTTGGGGAACATTTTCTTTCAAACCACCACACCATGTAACATACCTTCCCATTTGTATGCAATGTCCATAGACAGACAGCAATGGTTGGAAAGGGTCAGGTTGGGGGAGGGAGATTGGGGGAGGAGTCTTGGTTGTAGAGTTTCCCCTTGAGGAGGGGAAGGTATCTGGATTTCATAGTGGTATAGGGCTGTTAATCCATGAACATAGCCCACTGAAGGGTACACCTTCATATGACTAACACTAAACTTTTGTTTGTAGCTTTTTGGAGAGAGTTTCTCTGAACAGATAGTCACTAAACCAAACCAGAGGTCAGATGTCATCTTTGACCCTCAAACACATGTCAGAGCAGTTCCAGTGAGGGACAGCCAGTGTCTTATGCTCATGGAGTCCTCCAGGAACTGGGTCAACAGCTTATCACCATTCCCTTTCTAGAGATCAATAAAGCCCTCCCTGGAAGCCATAGAGCGAGATTTCAGTGGAATACACAGGAAAGCGGAGCATCGGGGAGACTCCAAAGGAAAGATGCAGGCCCAGGGCCTCCCAGAAAGCTGTGTGCTGTTTTCCCAAAGCCTCTGCCTCTCAATGGAGCGATTCTGGACACTAGAGAGATGACTCCTCCCAGGAGCAGTGGCCCTGTCATCATATCTACTGCAATCTGAACCCGAGACTGCTTATGGTAACCTGGAAGCTCCCTGCCTGCCTCACAGCCACCTGGAAGGATGGGGAGGATGTGGATGCCGTGGAGGCCCTGCATCTTGCAGGTGACCTGGCTGGATCTGAGCTCCACGTCGACTGTGGCTCTTCAGTGCTGCGTGGCACCTGTCACACAAAATGGTAATGAAGTTCTGTGATGTCACTGAGAACTCTGCATGTACAGTGCTGTGTGGGGTCCTCACGGTGGCTGCAGGTGGTGATGCAGGGCATGAGGAGGGTGCACGGAGGGGCAGTGAGGGCAATGGGCAGCGAGCCCACGATGCCTTTCTCTGGGAGCCTGGGGTATGGAACTGTGCTTCGTGGCAGCCTCACACTTCTCTCTCCCACAAAGCACAGAGTCACCCTCTCGCTCCCAACCTGGCTGTTGCACACAGTCACCCATCCACAAGGGCCATGGGGGCTGGCAAGCGGCTTCCCAGCAGTCCACTCCCGAGAAGACAGTGGGCGGGGACACAGGGGCATACGTGGTCAGCTTGCGTCACAGCCTGTTCCCCGCCCCACTGCTCTGGGGACTACAGAAAAGGCAAGGCTTTATTTTACTTCCTCTGCATCCCTGAAACTTGATATGACCCAACACAGAGTGGGCTTTCAGGGACTGCTCCGTGAATGGCAGGGAGGATGGGTGACTAAATTGGGGTTCCATCCCTTTGTGGGGGGCATGTATGTGGCCAGACGCAGTTATTCTGAGCTGTTGCCTCCTAAAATTAACAGCCTTACTGTCACCTACTGGTCTGCAGAGGAGTCATTGGGTGCTCCTGTCCCTTCGGCAGTGGCCAGGAAGGTGATGTAAGGGTGAGGGTGTGATTTATGCACCTGTGATAGGACCTGGCCCGATGTTTGCAAAGCGCTTCCTGGAGAAAAGGTGCTTCATAAATATTAGGTATTCTGCTCATGAGGGGCAAAGCGTTACAAATCAGATTTGGTGGCATGAAAGTAACATATTTATGATCCACTATCATATTGCAAATGAAATGAATGCAATAAAAGTGTCACTTATACAAATACCTCTGATGTACAGATCCCGACCTATGAATATGAAAACAGACACCCAAGCACTTTTATTTGAATGTCTAATCATGGAAATAAATGAAGCCATGTTCATTTTAATGTGCGCACTTGTGCATGTATCTGGAATATTGATTTTCGTACACACGATAAAAATTTAATGCAGGAAACACGGGAAAGCTGCAAGCCCCACATGGGCCCAGGAAGAGGACAACAGTGCTCTCCTGAAAACTTCTTGTCATCAACAAGAGAAAATACCAGTGACGGCGTATTTTGTTCGTAAAGACTAGTTCATCTTCACTTTAGCAAAGGGAGCACAGCAGCCTATTTACTCTTGCTTGGAATTAAAGTCTGAAGCCCGCACATTCCAACTCCTCAGCTCCCCGCTAACTGCAAGAATAATGGGTCACAGCTGGTCCGAGGCCGCGCTGTAACTGCTGGACTGAGCTGCTCAAGAGGAGAACACGGAAGTACGGTCTAACCTGAGTTTAAAGACTGTTTTCTGGACTCTTCTGGACTCTGCATGTAAATGAACTCGGGACCTGAAGGCAGGTGAAGCATCACTGATCGCTGGGGCTCCTTTCCCCTAACTTAAAGGTTGATGGTAGCTGCTCAAGCACTTATTAGGGATGATCCCAGTGTGAGGGTGGGCTGAGCTGGGGTACAAGAGTGCTTCCTCCACTCCTGGAAGGTGGAGCTATCTGTCCCCTAAAAAAGAACATGCCACACATACGCTGGTTGGAACTCAGACACAGAGAAGAAGGTGAGTGGTAACAGGGCAGAGGCTGGGCTTTCTTTCCATTCTGTTTGCAGGTACTATTGAACCAGCCTGAGGCCACCCTGAGTGTTTGTGTAATGAAATAATCCCTTTATTCCTTGGAACCTTGATTTCAGACTCTCCACACATGTCCAAGCATGCCTCATGACGGCGCTCGTGGAAGGGCTCTATACCCCACAACTGCCAAGTGGGTGTTCATTGTGCCAGGGAGCAGAGAGGGACACTGTCAGAATTCTGTAGATTCAGTAGAATTCTGTAGCCAAGTACAGAGGAAACAGTTCAGACGCAGCATCTCAAAGTTTATCAAGGCCCTTATGGACTGGGCCAGCTTCCTAAAGCTACTCCCAGAAGCAGAGGGGAGCTTTATATACCATCTGTGCAGAGGCCAAATACTTCTCAAATTACTTTACATTAATGAGAACATGGAGACGATTCTAAACACGCCCTTCCCCGTGTGACTTTTAGGAATGGAGGCCCTATCTGTGCATGCCGACATTGATCCCTTCCTCTCCCCCTCTGTCTCAGCAGGAGTGGCCAACCCTGTGGGGATGGGTGTGTTTTTCTGGTGGCCCCACTTGCAAGGCAACAGTTTAGGGTACTGAGGCTCTTTCAGTGATATGTGAACTACAGGCATCATTTTCAGCTTAACTGTACAAAAGATGGCAAAGAAGATGGGCTTGGTGACAAATGCTTGTCTTCCCAGTCACTGCAGAAGTTGGGCAGGAGGATCAGAAGTTTGAGGTATCCTGGACAGCATGGTGAGGCCTGTATCAGAGCAAGAATAATGAGAGAGAAGCCTGGTGCTACAGTGCCATAGGAAGTAGCGCTTCCTCTTGCAAGTGAGGCGTTGGGTTTAATCCCCGGGACTGCAAAGCAAGCAAACACAAAGCCAGCAACCACCTGTCCAGCCTACTCCTGCCTGGGCTCAGTGGACAAAGAGAACATTTGAGGGTGCTGTGTAAGGGCAGGCACTGGGTATGTGCAAACCGGTGATTGCAGAGTTTTCATAATCTTTCCTCATCAGCTGGTGGTCCTGTGGGCCACTCCTCTGGCAGCAAAGGGCTGCTTCAGTGACACTTTTGCAACTCTGACTTTGCATTTGTAGTGGTTGTCCTTTGCAGTTGAAGGCTGAGGCCATGGTTGTAACACATAATAGAAATGGAAGAAGACACTGGGCCTGGCTTAGCCATCTGACTCTGAACAATGACTCACCTGCTACTCACCTCGTCTTTTATATATTATATTATGCTATTTACTTATTTGTTTACTTATTTTTGAGACAGTCTCTCTCTATGTAGCTCTGGCTGTCCTGGAACTTGCTATGTAGATCAGGCTTGTCTCCAACTCACAGAAATCTACCTTTCTATGCCTTCCAAGTACTGGTGTCAAAGGAGTGCAGCACCATACCCAATCCTTTGCCCTGCTTTTAAAAAAACTCCAGTGTGCAGAGTTCAGGGTCCACTTCACAAAAAAAGGTGGTTATCCTGGCATCACGGATGAACACACGTAAAATAGTCAGCTGTGTCAACTGCCTAGAGGGCCCGTGTGACCTGCACCCATAAGTCATCTAAGGGATGGAAAAGTGGACACTGGGTTTCCAGATGTTAGCCAACATTTGGAAAATTAATGTCTCATCTAGAACATTGATGTGGAGAAACTCATATATTTTCAAATAAGTTTTAAAAATCTGAGCCATTAGAAGAATAATCTACATATGGATTTGTGGGTATTCCTACTGTGTGTTTCATTTAGATGACCTCTGTATGTCTTCAGTGGATACCCCCCACCCCACAGCACAAACACCCCCACCTCACATTTTACACACACACACACACACACACACTCTCTCTCTCTCTCTCTCTAAAATAACTAAAAACAGAAAAAGCTGTGGGGAAACCTGGTACTTTCTAAGCACATTTTAAAAATCAAAAGGAAAATATTAGAAAAATCAACTCATATACTTTACCCAGCCTAGACACAGGGGTGTGGGGTTGGAGAGGCGCTTTGGTCCTGCCTGATGAGGGAGACTTAGTAGACTTACTAGGGGAGGCCTTTCCCTCTCCAAGGAGCAGATGGGAGGTGGGAGGAGGAAGGAGAGGAGAGAGGGGGAACTAGGATTGGAATATAAAAAATAAATTAATCAAAAAAAGAAAAATCAACTTATGAAACAAATGAGACAGCATTTGAAAGCATGGCTTTCTGCAATAAGCCTGTAGAAGCAGTCAGTAAACCATCTGCATTTATGGAAAGAAAGGTTGTATGGATCTCCAAAGAGCTGCAGGAGGTCTTTGTAGAGGCCCATGGGGACCTCTACAAGGAGAGCTTGGAAGGTCATTGCTTACAGAGGTGATGGGAGCAACCTGAATGTGCATCACGACATGGGGCGGGGCTTGTCCATCAGGTTAGATGTAGGACTACAGAGTAGGGTTCTCCTGTGGGCTGGGAAATCTTGCCAAGGAAACAGATTTTAGGTTCACTGGGTTGCTTCTGTCAGTCACGGCAGCAGAGGAGTCCATTTGTTCATGATGAAGACATGGCTGGGGACAGAGATCACTTGAGGCAGTTGCTGGAAGCTCCTGTGCAAGCACGAGGAAGTTCTGAATCAAGGAGGGATGGTGAGGTGGAGTCAGAGCAAAGGATGCTGGGAAGGGCCTGTGACAACTCTCACCTTGGTAAGGGACAAGAGGTTCAAGATTAAATGTGCGAGATTCCAGGTGCCCATATTGTCCTGTGGAGTGTGCGATTGAATAGCTCGACATAAGCCCAGAAAGTGACTGGCCACAGCCAGAGCCAGGCGAACAGGCCCTTCTATTGGAATAGCAGAACAGAGAGTGCCAGCCGATCCTTTAGGCTCCCGGTCCCTGTGTTTCCCTTCTCCCAGTCTTTTTAGGAATTAATGTGGATGAGACTCAGATTTTGGAACTAACATTTTAGTTGTTTCTGTGTGTCGGACGCTGATGCTGACACTGGGATATGTCGGGAACAAGAGAAAGAGAGAGACAGAGAGAGAGAGACAGAGACAGAGAAAAACACAGAGAGAGAGAGAGACAGAGACAGAGACAGAGAGACAGAGACAGAGAAAAACACACACACACAGAGAGAGAGACAGAGACAGAGACAGAGAGACAGAGACAGAGAGAAAAACACAGAGAGAGAGAGACAGAGAGACAGAGACAGAGAGAAACACACACACACAGAGACAGAGACAGAGACAGAGACAGAGACAGAGAGACAGAGACAGAGAGAAACACACACACACACACACACAGAGAGAGACAGAGAGAGACAGAGACAGAGAGACAGAGACAGAGAGAAAAAAACACACACACAGAGAAAGAGAGAGAGAGAGAGAGAGAGAGAGAGAGAGAGAGAGAGAGATCATCAAGGAGGATGGAGGATGGCTATCTATAAGACTTACTACCAGAAACTTTGACCACTCCTTGCCCTTGCCTTTCTTGAAGCAAAGGTTGGAAACATTAACCTACTGGTAGATGCACTTAAAGTCTCCTTTTGGGGGCAGGCAAACATGTCTCTTAAGTCACTAGTCTGGCATGCGACCTAGACTACTAGCCCCAGTTACAGCAAGTGAGTACACTGTGTACCAACTCCAATATAGCACCCGTCTCATCCCTATCCTCATCCTTTCAGGGCTGAAGGATGCTCTATGCCCTGCTAAGTGCTTCCCACAGTTCTGTCATTTAATTTTCCAGCAATTCCGTGCTGGAGGTGGTATTTGCCTCCCAACGTTACACATGGAGAAACTGAGTCTGCACCTCTCAGAGGCCTCATGGTCATTAATTAGCCTATAGAATCACGACTTGAACACAGACGCCTCTGGTTCCACGGCATAGACTGTGCATAAGATGATCCACAACTTTTTCCTTTTCCAAAGACTCAGGTCTGTAACACAAATGTAACAAGGAATTTCTCTTCTAGGCTTGGTTGCCCTTGCATGCTACGGAGCAACCACTCCCCGGCCAAGAAAAAAAAAGTCAGAAGATGAAATAGCAAGAGTCTGCCTGTGTCATGTGGGCCTCGGCACACACACTGTTGGTCAGTACTGTTGCCAGTTTGCCTTCCAGCGAGAATGAAGCCTCTGCTTGCTGTGAACAGACCAGCCTCAGTTCGCATCTATTAGCAGGCTGAGTCCTGCTGAGACCACACAAGTCCTCCCTCTGTCCCACTGATCCCGAGCCTCAGGGGACAGTTACTGCAAAGGAAACATGCCGCATTTGCCATTCTCCTCGTCACTTGTAGCCACGTACTCGAATGTCTGTCCTTAGCAGAAGTCGACGTTTCTCCTCCCAGGAATGCTTATGCCAAG